TACCAACATTTAATGGTATTATACAAAAACTTGATGAAATGTTAACATCCTTAAATGACACCAAGGATGCACCAACAATTTATTCTGAAGTGAATAAAGATTTGAGTAAGAAACAAGAGAGGTTAGTATGATAAAATACTACATATACTAATGAATTAAATGAAAAAATAATTTCTTATTTTTTTTATTAAAAATTTGGTATGTTTTTCTTTTTCCAGCATACAAAACGTAGCTAGTGATGAATCGTATTTAAAACCTCTGTAAATAAAGTCAATTAAAAAAGTTTTTAAATAATTATTATAAGAAAAATATTTGTAAGGAACAAACGAAAACCGTTAAAGAAATTGTTAAACGAATTTTTAAATTTTCTAAATGTTTTCTATTTAAGATATAAGACAATTAATTTTAATATGTTTTCTTATTATTAAGTGTTAAATGTATACAGAGACCTATGGTTATTTATAGGAATATTTATTCATTATTCTATAGATGTATTTATTTTATATTATTATTAATATTATGTATGTACATATTTATTTAGGCATATAAGAACAACGAAAGTTTTTAAAAACTATTGATAATAATTGTGTTTTCTTTTAATTACAAAATATTTTTAAATAATTATTAAATTTTACATATGAATGTCATGAAAGAGAAATATTTGAAAATAACATAAAACTATTATGCAACAATTGAACAATTGCACTAACAAGTGCAATAGCAAATTACTCTTAAGCCTTTTATGGGTATTGTATTTGTGCAATGTTGCATGTTATTTATAATTATATATTTTTCATTATTTCATATATAAATATTTGTTTCTACTTATGTTGGTTACGTTTAGCAAAGAATAAGACTTATAAGATTTGAAATCATATTTTTATAATAAATAAAACAAAAAAACCATTTAATAGCATGATATATGTTATTTATTAATTAACTACTTACATAATAAATTTAAATTAAAAATATGAAAATGTTAAAATTATTTTAGTTCAGTTCTGGTTCACTTCTAGTTCAATTCTAATTCAGTTCTAGTTCAGTTCTAGTTCAGTTCTAGTTCAGTTCTAGTTCAGTTCTAGTTCAGTTCTAGTTCAGTTCTAGTTCAGTTCTAGTTCAGTTCTAGTTCAGTTCTAGTTCAGTTCTAGTTCAGTTCTAGTTCAGTTCTAGTTCAGTTCTAGTTCAGTTCTAGTTCAGTTCTAGTTCAGTTCTAGTTCAGTTCTAGTTCAGTTCTAGTTCAGTTCTAGTTCAGTTCTAGTTCAGTTCTAGTTCAGTTCTAGTTCAGTTCTAGTTCAGTTCTAGTTCAGTTCTAGTTCAGTTCTAGTTCAGTTCTAGTTTAGATCTAGTTCAGTTCTAATTCAGTTCTAGTTCAGTTCTAGCTCAGTTCTAGTTCAGTTCTAGTTTAGATCTAGTTCGGTTCTAGTTCAGTTCTAGTTCAGTTCTAGTTCAGTTCTAGTTCAGTTCTAGTTCAGTTCTAGTTCAGTTCTAGTTCAGTTCTAGTTCAGTTCTAGTTCAGTTCTAGTTCAGTTCTAGTTCAGTTCTATTTCAGTTCTAGTTCAGTTCTAGTTCAGTTCTAGTTCAGTTCTAGTTCAATTCTAGTTCAGTTCTAGTTCAATTCTAGTTAATTTTTAGTTCTGTTCTAGTTCAATTCTAGTTAATTTTTAGTTCAGTTCTAGTTCACTTCCAGTTTAATTCTAGTTCAATTCTAATTCAGTTCTAGTTCAGTTCTAGTTCAGTTCTAGTTCTAGTTCTAGTTCAGTTCTAGTTCAGTTCTAGTTCAGTTCTAGTTCAGTTCTAGTTCAGTTCTATTTCAGTTCTACTTCAGTTCTAGTTCAGTTCTAGTTCAGTTCAGTTCTAGTTCAGTTCTAGTTCAGTTCTAGTTCAGTTCTAGTTCAGTTCTAGTTCAGTTCTAGTTCAGTTCTAGTTCAGTTCTAGTTCAGTTCTAGTTCAGTTCTAGTTCAGTTCTAGTTCAGTTCTAGTTCAGTTCTAGTTCAGTTCTAGTTCAATTCTAGTTCAGTTCTAGTTCAATTTTACTTTAGTTCTAGTTCACTTCCAGTTCAATTCTAGTTCAGTTCTAGTTCAGTCCTAGTTCAATTTTACTTTAGTTCTAGATCACTTCCAGTTCAATTCTAGTTCAATTCTAATTCAGTTCTAGTTCAGTTCTAATTCAGTTCTAGTTCAGTTTTAGTTCAGTTCTAGTTCAGTTCAGTTCAGTTCAGTTCTAGTTCAGTTCTAGTTCAGTTCTAGTTCAGTTCTAGTTCAGTTCTAGTTCAGTTCTAGTTCAGTTCTAGTTCAGTTCTAGTTCAGTTCTAGTTCAGTTATAATTCAGTTCTAGTTCAGTTCTAGTTCTGTTCTTGTACACTTCTACTCACTTCAGTTCTACTGCAGTACTTGTTCAGGTTCTAGTTCACTTCTAGATTACTCCAGTTTAATTCATTTCTATTTCAATTCCAATTTTGCTCCAGTCCAGTCGTAATTTAGTTCTAGTTCAGTCCAATTTCAGATCTAGTTGAGTTCTAATTCAGTTCTACTTTAGTTTAGTTCTAGTTCGTCTAAAAACCACATTAAAACACTCGTTTCTTTTAATTAACATTTCTCATTTTATTTACAATTCAAAAATAAAAGTTCATTAACAAAAAAAATCTTCACTCTTTAAACGATTATACTTAAAGTTTTTTTTAAAAAAATATACATTTCATGTAAAAATATTGTGGTTAAATTTTTAATAATTATTAAACAAACGAAAAAAAAAAATAATAATAAAAACAAGCGTTTGTAACATTCAATAATAACTTAAAATCTAAGGTCTATTATAATTTAAACCCAAAATATTACGAGCCTAAAAGTAAAAAAAGAAAAAAAATTAAAATTTATTGCAATTTTATATTAGAAAATTGAAAACTTACTGTAATAAAGGCAGAATTAAATGAACTTTGGAATTTGTGTGTAACATTTTCGGTTGTTGTAACACCATTTGCAATTGTACCGCTTCATCCATGCGATTTTGTAAAAATTCCCAAGTTTTTTGATGTTGTGTTGAATTATCTTGCATCATATACAATTCGGTCATTTTCATTATGGTAGCCAAGCCAATGCGTCTGGTATACCAGCCAATCTAAAAGGGAAATACATTTAGTAATGATTAATATATTTTTAAGTTTTCTACTTACATCTACCGAACGATCTCCCGAATAATAGCAAATATCATCAACCAGCGTTAGAACTTGTGCTAACGCCGTGGAGGCATTCTGTGGCAGAGCAATGAGAGCCAAAGCCTGTGGCCATTGACTTTTATAGGGTGTTATCATTTCCAAACGTAATCTAACGAAACGCACCAAAAACTCCAAAGGATTACTTATCTCTTTGTTACCATTATCAGTCTCCTCTTGCAAAAGTTTCAACAATTCCTCATTGCATTTGCCATTGAAATAGGATACCAAATCAAAACCTCCCTCAGGAAACATACCATGCACCACACTGGGATAACCAGTCTCTTCAGCACCTTGCACTATGGCATTACGAGTCCAACCTAGAGTGGGCACATGCTTTAAGGCAGCCTCTAATATTTTTGTACGTACACCATCTAGTTTAGCTTTTTTCTCATCTTCCTCTTGTTGCGTTTGGGCTTTCTGTTGTTGTTCGAATTCCTCTTCCCGTTTCTCTTCTCTAGCCCGGAACTCATCGATGCTTGTGCCGGCCGATGAGTCTTTTGTTGATTTTGTGCAAAATGTTCGGTGGTCTAGTGGTATTTGTAATTTAAAGGTCACATGCTGTGAATGCTTTGTAGTTTGTTTATTTTCTTTATTTTCATTTAGATGATTTTTTGCCGATGTTGTCGTTAGAGTCCGGCACGTAAATTGATGACTTAGATTTACATCTAGACATAAATAGAGTTGAATATATTAGTGGGGTTTATTTTGGTTATATTATTTGTTATTTTAAAATATGTACTATACTAACACGAGTTTGAGTGTGTATATCTTCAATATTAGATTTCATCTATTCATTCACACATGTCTGTTAATTAGTGATTTCTATTCAACACTTTCGCATCGTTTGCAATGCAGTTGTTTTCATTAAATAATTAACAGTTGTGACTGGGATTTTTCATAAAGTTATTCGCTTAAGATGTATAGATTGTTTAGAAACTTAAAAAAAGTTTTGTATTTAATATTTAAAAATGTTTTAGTCATAAATAAAACATTGTTTAGAGTTGCAGTCATAAGTATTGTCATCAAATTATAAAATTCCAATATTAGAACTGAACTAGAACTGAACTTGAACTGAACTAGAACTGAACAGAACTGAACTGAACTAGAACTGAACTAGAACTGAACTAGAACTGAACTAGAACTGAACTAGAACTGAACTAGAACCGAACTAGAACTGAACTAGAACTGAACTAGAACTGAACTAGAACTGGACTGAACTAGAACTGAACTAAAACTGAACTAAAACTGAACTAGAACTGAACTAAAACTAAACTAGAACTGAACTAGAACTGAACTAGAACTGAACTGGAACTGAACTAGAACTGAACTAGAACTGAACTAGAACTGAACTAGAACTGAACTAGAACTAAACTAGAACTGAACTGAACTAGAACTGAACAGAACCGAACTAGAACTGAACTAGAACTAGAACTGAACTAAAACTGAACTAGAACTAAAGTAGAATATAACTAGAACTGAAGTTAGAACAAAATTAGAACCAAAATTCTTAATTTCGCTAAAGAAGAAAAACACCAATACATTTTCTTTCACTTTCTCTTTATTTAAACATTTTCAACATCTTTAACATGCTTTACATCCATTTTACTTTTAACAGCCCGAGGAGCACTTTCCAAACACTCACAAGCTCGCGACAAAAGACTACGCATTAGATCAAAAGTACAAAGATTTTGATTAAGAATACTAATTTGTTTTTCTTTATCAAATTGCAGATCCAATTTTGATTGTTTATCATTCTGCACATCAATATCCAATAGGTTCAATTGATCCATATAAGGACGTTCTACGCCCGTTTCAACATTATGCAATTCAGCCTTAAAATGAGCCACCGACAAGTCCAAAGCTTTCCGTAAAGCATTTAAATAGGACTCTTCAATTTCCTTGGCAAAATTCCAAAAACCAGTACGATTTTCCACATCTTTAAGAGCAATAAAGCGTAGAGTATTAAGCGAGGCCACAATTCGATCAGAGTTCTCCAACAGATCTGTCTCAACACCCTGAGGCAAATGGCATATATTATTAAGGAAAATATAACGAAAATCATTGCCACTATAGGAAGCCGGCAGAGGAGAGGAAGTTTTCAGTGCTTCTGCTACTAAGTCTTTATAGAGAGTAGCTAAATAACCCACCAGGCCATGATGATTTACTGATTTCATTAGATTTTTGAGTATTAGGTATTTGGCTTCATCTACAAAGCTTAATATATACTGACGTAAAACTTTTAAACCCAATTGACGCACCTGGGTATGAGAAGAGTAACCCACTATATTGCAAAGTGTGGTACAAAATGATTTATGTATTTCCAAATCTAACGAAGAGACATCAATTACATGACCTTTTAATTGCTCTAGAAGTTTATGCAAGAGTAGTAGAGATTTTTCATGTAAAGCGGGTTCATCCTGCAGTAGTAATTCATAAATTAAATATAAACACGTTTCCAGAATGTATAATGGGTGGTAAACTAAAGGTATGCTTGCTTTAGTTATACCTTCTACAAATACCATATAGTAGTAGATGGCCAAACAGTCTAAAGGCAGTTTTTCATTGATAAGAAAAATATTGCACGAACTCATTTCGTGTACTCCTTTGGCCTCATCCTCACGCCTTTTGAAACGTGCCCTTGACTCTACAAATGACAACAGAAACAGAGGATCTGTTATACATTTGGTGGCAGCCTGCGTTAAAGACTTGGCGCATTGCAGGGAATAGGTGTTGGTTTTTCTTTCCTCATCATTTGTTAGATCCAAAAGAGACAGAGGTTTTCCCAAAAGTTCTATTAGAAAACAGCACAAAACATTGCGCCTAGTTATGCCCACAGGACGAAATAGTTCCTTTTCATCTCTAGGTTTAGAGCAAATAGCATTTATGAGAGGATCATAGAAGAGACCCACAGTAATGTAGTGCATTAAAAGGCTTTGTATTTGATCATCTTGTTCCAAGAGTGCTTGTTGTTTAGAATCATAACCCTCTTTTAAATAGTCTGGTACGGGTAAGTCTTCTAAGCGATTGTATATTGAATTCAGGCTCCATTCCAAGGCACGTGGTTTTTCATCTCCTTGTCTAAGCAAAACTATTTGAAGAGCTCTTAAGGATGAGGTAAATACAAATTCACTTTTACTTTCCTCTATCAATTCCAAAAGTTCGAGTAACAACTCTTCGGCCGGTGCATGGGTTGCTACAATTTTAAGCAGCTCTTCAGCACAACCGTACAAGGAGGCATTCTCTTGGTTAACTTTGTCATTGAGGTTTTCCAAACAAATGTCATGATACAGATCCATAGCTATTTTGGGTAAATATTGTAAATTGCGTTCAGCTTCCTTGTTGCTGGTAAATAACAAGGCAACTCCCTCATATTGCTGCTCCTTAATCAGCTGTTTAATTAAAGCCATCAAATGCTCAGCACCCTGGTCTGCAGCAGCCGGCTTCATTAAATCATTCATGATTTTTGTTGAAATTTTATTAACACCCCGGTTAAAACACTTCAAAAACTAGTCCAATTACTGGTTTTTATGTTAATTATTAGTTTTTTAATAATTTTAAGTAATAATTTTTAAAATAAACACCAAAAACAGCTAAATTTTAATAGTCCGATGTAAAATATTTCTTTAATGTGAAATGTCAATGCAAAATTCATACACACACACACTTTTCGCTCTCTTAATTATTAAAAAAAAGTGGCACCAAAAAAACTTTCGTAATAGAATTGTCAAAAAAATTCATCATAATCTTTTTCTTCTTAGAACATGGTGAAATAATTCCATAACTTATATTTGTTATTTAAATTATAGTTGAATAACTTTGCTATTTATAAAACTTACTTTTATTATTTAAAAACTTTTGCAATTTAATAAATCTATTTAAAGCGCTAAAATTTGCCATTATTTTCCTCAGTTATTTAAAATGTTTTTATAAGACTTTTCTACCAGTTGAGTAAATATAAACTGAAAAAGAGTTTGTCAGAAGAGAGCCTTTTTATTAGAATTGTAATCAAAACAGAATAAAGAGAACGGAAAAGCAGCATTGTATTTCTAACGAGCATAGTTGTATTAGAAAAGTAAAGTAATCACAATATATGTTGCCAGATGGTATGAAACAAATATAACGTTAAATTCAAATTAAATTGAAATAGTTTTTCATTAATTTATTATTATTGCCAAATAGTCATATTCTGAATAACAATTTCCTGAGAATTTCTAAACCATGAAGTAGGAAAACAATTTCCGGAGAAGTTTTATTCAGAATATATTTTATTATTTAAAATTTATAACTTTTACAAAACTGAAATTCCATTTATTGAACATATGGTCCATAAAACATATGGACAATTTCGTGTCAAGTAACCCAATTTTTAGAATCGATACCTTTCGATTTGGATGAAATTTGCACAAAGGTTGGATAGTAGGCCAGACACCACCTTTCAGCTCTGTTGGTAAAGAACTACCGGGGTTAGAAGTGGTCAAAGTAACCTCCCTTTAAGAAAGCTCTTAAAAGAAATGGTCTAAGCTTTCTTTTGAGTAAAAAAAAAAACGTATATTTTGAAAAAAAGGCGAAAATGAAATGCTTCTTGAGTTAAAAAATTTTTGTATAGATATGTGTTCCACTCGCATCCCATTATGTCACTATAACGCCTTTAAAAGAAATTGTATAAGCTTTTTTCTGAGCAAAAAGGGCCCATTTTGAGAAAAAAATGCTATTTTAACTGCTTTGGAAATTTTTCGCTAGGTGCAAAGTTACACGCACTTAAAAAACCCTGTATGACGAAAATGTCTAATTTTGCCTCCCTCTAACTCCGGCAGTTCTTGACCGATAGAGATGAAAATTTGTGTCTGGCTTACGATCCAATAGTACAAACCTTTATGCAAATTTCATCCAAATCGATTTTTTGAGTTGAGTCACTTGACATTAAATTGTCCATATATTAAAAATTCGGAATTTTGGTCATATTTCGGTTATTTAAAAAAATATGCTTACGCATATCTATAGAAAATAAAATTTGAAATGTATTCAAAATTCTAAAATCAGTCTAGAATTTAAGACTAAAAAATCATTTCCATAATGTTTCTATTTTTTTTTTTTTGGCACTCATTCTAAAAGCGAACTTTTTTTATACTCGTAAACCTAGAAACATTATATTTTTAATATAAACATTGAAAAAGATATCAAAAATTCGGGAAAAGTCGACATAAAAAGTTCAAAAATTTCGAAATTGTAAAAAGTCGAAAAATTTTTTTTACATAAATTTGCAATAATTAAAAAATTGGAAAAGTAGATTTTTGCTATTAACTATAGAACCCTTTTTTAGAATATAAACATATATTCTTTATAAGACCTTTAAATCTAATAATAAAAATATTTAATATTAAGGTAATAAACGTTTGATTTAAAATAACATATTTATATTTCGATATATGCTATGAAGCAACACTTTTTATTTTTGAACATCTGGCAACAATTCAATAAAATTCTAGTTAAAGAGTATTGTTAACTTTCTATAACTAAAAACGCTAAGATGTTGCTTTCCATCACAGACTTTATTCACTGCATAACTCCATAAACAGTTAAATATATAAATACTTTAACAAAAAATAGTGTTAAATATCATAAATAATTATTTTATTTAAGAATTATTCAAATTTCTGCAATTTTTTATATATAAAATTTCAACTTACTGTGTTTCTTCTTCATAAAATAACTAAAAATCGCAAGATATGCAAAAGAAGAAATCTCTAAATTACCAACACTGTTATTAAACAAAACTGACATTTCGCTCTCCTGTTCACTTTCAGTCGTTTCTCAACTGGCGTCGCGAATTTTTCTTGAAAATAAATAAGGCGGATGAAAAGTTATTTACAATACTAGAAATTGTGTTAATTTTGCAAAGAAAAAAGTGAAATTTACATTAATATTTAATACGATTTAAAATTCACTAATTAAATGGGTGTTACCAAACACCCATATTTATAATTTCATTAATAAAATGCTGTTTATAATTCTTAATTTGCTGCTCAAGTGTAAAAAATTTTGTGTTTTTTTAATTTTCTTCTGTTTTTTCGACTTTTTCAACTCTCTTTTTTTCCATTTGTTCTATTTTGCAAATCAACAAAAAATAAATATGGTATAGAAAGAAGAAGAGAGTGAGAGCGTAAAGAAAGAGGGTGGAAATAATTGCAGGAAAATTTAACAAAGTTGGATATATTTCAACAAAATTTACAGAAGAAATCAGTTTACAAATCAAATTTGGTCAATTAAAAATTCATTAAAATTTAAAATAAAAATTACCGAAAAATAGAAGAAAATAAAGTGAAAATGTTTAGCTGAACAGAAATGAAGTTATCGGTAGCCTTGCTAAGATATATACAAGTTTTTTGTAGAAGAAAAAAAGTGTCTGCTGCTGTTTGATTCTTGTACTTTATGTATTATTCAGGCGGGCGGCGGCTGCATTGAAAAACGATTTTAATTCGTTACAACAGCTCAAATAAGGAAATATATAAAAAGTAAAGAAGCTGTCTGTTATAGCTTCGTTAGCTGAAAGAGTTAACCAAGTTTCTTTTACATCTTCTTAACCAACAAAAAAAAAAAAAATACGAAAAATCCTGTTTTTTAACCTTAAAAAATTAAACAAGAAAATAAAGAAAAAAGAAGACACCAAAAAAAACAAACCAATAACAAGAGCAAAACTTCATTATCACTATATATATACTTATATACTTATATATATATACTTAATAACAATAATAATAATAAAAGTGTATTTAACATCATCTTCATTATCATCGTCATCAACATCATTATTGTCAACGAGACTTTCCCCTTTGAATTGAAACGAAGAAAGACGAAAAATAAAACGGCTCCAAAATGTCGACACGTTCCCAGTTAACAAAGGATTTGAATGGTAAGTTTTTTGTTTCTTTGTTAACAAAAATTAAAAGGAAACTGATTTTGTTTTTTATTTAAACTTTAGTTAATTAAAAAAAGGTTAACTTTTAATTAAAGAAGAAATTTCATTTTAATTTTATTAACTGCAATTTGTGTCTTCGTTTTGTCAAGTTGCTTACAAATATTTAGTGTGTATGCTGCGTTTTGGCTTTTATTTTTCCTGTTTACTTTTTTTAACTTTTATTTTGTTTTACCTCCTCCTCCACCTTTGTTTTGTTTTCTTTTATTTTAGTGTGTGCGATTACTGTGTTTAATCCTTGCCAGGGATGGAAAATTACTTTATTTTAAACTTTTAGACGGTGAAAAATATCTCAGAACAGTCACGATATATTCAATGCTTTTTATTGATATTACCAAGTTTTACTTCCCAGTTTCTAGACTAGTTAATATATAGACTAATTAATAGGCAAGTCAAATGACTAATTCAAAGACTGGATAATATAATAGTCTATACTATAGACTCTATAGACTAATCAATAGAAATGTACTAAGACCAGTCCATATACTAATCCATAGTGTAGACAATTGTTGAATTGACAGACTGGCCAATATACTCGTCCATAGGCTAGTCAATAGAATCGATTACTAGTCTACGGACTAGTCTAATTTCTAGTCTGTGTACTAGACTATTGAATGGTTTATTGACTATTCAGTCGAATAATATATAGACCTTTTTACTGAACAGTTTGTCCATTATTATATTTAATAATCTATTTAGTATTCTGTTTAAGATCCTAATGACGCTTCTAATGAATATAGAATATTCAATATACTATACAGAGTCGAGTCCATAGTTTACTCTTAAATATAGTCAATAGACTACTCATTAGTCTATTACATAGAATTGTCAATAAACTAGTTCAAAGTCTAGTCAAGCATTGCTTCGTAGTCCACAGATTAATTAATCGATTAGCTAATAGACTAGTCAAAAGACTAAAAGATTGTACAACATACTAGACCATAAAGTACTCTATAGATTAATCAATATAATAGTCCATAGACCAGTCCATTATCTAGTAAATCGTCTAATCCGCAGAATAGCCAATATACCACCTAATAGACTATTCCATAGCAAAGTCTACGAAATAGACTATATATTAGTCTATGGGCTAGTCTGTATTGTCTATTCTGTATTGTATTCTATCAAATAGTCTATTTACTATTATTTCAAATAGTCTATTGACTATAAAATATTCAATTCATAGTACGTAGTTTACTCTTTACAGTAGTCAATAAAATTATTCATAGGCCTGTCAATCGACCATTTAATAAAATAGTAAATAGTTAATTGTCCATATACCTAGTCTGCGGATTATTCACTTCCCAATAAAGTGCATAAACCTGTCAAAATATCAATCAATATACTACATAGTCAATAGTCCACATAATAATCTGTAGACTAGTCTATGTTCTAGTTAATAATTTAGTAAGTACTTTTAATCCTAAAAAAGTACTATCTACTTTATTTTTTTTAATTTATTTACATTTAAAAAATTTCAATTTTCCATATCTGATCCTTGTGTATCCATTTATTTACTTGTTTCTTTCTCTATACGAGTGAGTAATGTTTGTTTGTTGTTGTTTTTTTTCTTCTTTATTCTCCTATATACCGAGTTAGTGTGTGTCACTAACTCATTATGTTGTTGTTGTTGCACTCGTTGTGACCCCTCATTTTATTTATATTTTTTTTAGTTTTTATCGTTGCACTTTTTGAATTTCACTCTTTCAACGTTTTTTTTTATTTACAATTTCACAGTAATGATCTTTTGGAATATGTATCGAGAAAATATCTTATAAACAATGTAAATTTTATTGATATCACTTCAATATTTAAAAATCTTTGCTGGATTTTAACTTTCCAATTAGAAAAAATCTTTGCCGGCAACTCTTCTTTCTTTATATAGGTATTTATTAGGTAATTTTTAAAAATTCTTGTATTTTTTTTTAAATATTACATTATGTTAGAGCAATTCATTATACATTTTTTTAAATGTTCGACCCGACTTCCGAACCTCTACCAATTTATTTCTGGTTTTATTTAACAAAATTTGTTAAACAAATACTTTGCTTTTTTGTTTTTTGTGAAATTTTAAAAATTATATTATGTTAATTAGAATACCGTTTAACAAAAACTAGTTTTTTGTAGAAGCTAGTTTTTAAAAATATACAATTTGTTTAAAACTTTTAATTTATTTAAACATGCTCCTCATGTCTGTTAAAAAATTTCTGCAAATGTACCTACCTGATGACTGTTTTTTGCGGTTTAATCTTTCTGAAGTTCTAATAATAAACAAAACTTATTTTTTTTATATTTTTCTTTTTAAATAATTAAATTTAATTAATTGAAACAATTTCTAGTACATTTAAATATGAGCTTTTAAAGAACCTTTTGTATTATACTATATACTAAATATTCAAGACTTTTGACTATACTATAGATATAATCGAGACTATAAACTACTCTATAGTCGAGACTATGGATTATTCTATAGCCGAAGCTATGGACAACTCTATAGTCGAGATTATGGACTACCCCATAGTCGAGATTATGGACCACGCTATAGTCGATATTATAGACTACTCTATAGTCGAGACAACTCGATAGTCGGGACTATATACTATTCTATAGTCGAGACTATAGACTATTCTATAGTCGAGACCATATACTACGATGTAATCTATATTATAAACTACTCTATAGTAGAGATTATATCTTCAACTACTTTATAGTGAAGACTATGGACTATTCTATAGCCGTAACTATAGACTACGATATAATCGAGACTATAAACTATTCTATAGTAGAGACCATAAACTACATTATAGTCGAGACTATGGATACTCTATAATCGAGACAATAGACTACTCTATAGTCGAGACTATAAACTACTTTATAGTCGATACTATAGACTAATCTATAGTCGAGAATATAGATTATTCTATAGTCGAGACTTAAGACTATTCTATAGTCGAGATTATAGACTATTCTATAGTCAAGACTATAGACTATTCTATAGTCAAGACTATGGACTATTCTATAGTCAAGACTATAGACATTTCCATAGTCAAGAGTATAGACATTTCTATAGCAGAGACTTCAGATTACTCTATAATCGAGACCATGTATTACTCTATGCAGCTATCTTGTTAATTTCATAATTATCTAATGTTAATATTTTCAAAAATAATTCCTTCAATAATATTTTTTTCTTAAATGCTCTAAATCTATTTTAAATTTTTCAAAATTTTAAAATTTATAGCTTTTTAAAATTCTTAAAGACTTCAAACGAAACATCAAAACACCAAACATTAATTTTTTTACAACATTCATAATAAATTAATAAATAAATCTTTTTATATATTTTTTCCTAAATTTCCTAACAAATTCATATGATTTTATATCTTATTATATGTTTAACAAATTCTCAACACGGCCAAATTGAGGTCAATAGAGCGCAACGAAAGTGTAAGAAACAAAAAAATAACAAACAAGAAGTTGAAAAAAATCCACAGTAAAAGTAGCTAGGCAGCGCTAATAATATAAAAAAAAAAAAAAAAATAAAATAAATTTATTCTTAAACACTGATGCTGCGGTTGCAGCCACTAACATACTAACAGCGAGCTTACAAATATTTTTTTTTTACATAGACTCTCTTAGTTAGCAGTGACAGTATGTGTTTCTTTTTTTAATATTGTTTATTTTTATTTAGTTATTTATGGAACCACTTGTTTGTTGCTGCTGCAGATTTTAAACTGCAGCACATGAAACCCTAGCACATCTTGCATAGAGACAATAGAAATTTATAGTGGCACAATTTGTTTGACCATTTAAATGTTTTTTATTAAGATTTGTTGACGACGTATGCCGGTGGTATTTAGTAAGTCATTGTGATGACAGCCGGCATCGGCTGGGAAGTGCAGTAAATACCAGCAGAAATTAATAGTGTGTTTTTTTGTGTGTTATTGTATTACTTCAATTTTAAATATTTATATAGACTATTGAAATTGATATTTGGTAATTGGTTAGAAAATTAGGGAAATAATCATTAATTCGTTAATTATAGGCAATGAATAAGTTTAAATACACATACAAAAATAATAATTTGGATGTTTTTAATGTTTATAATTATAAAATATTATATTCTTTAACTTTCTTACATTTTCTCTATTTTTAAAATTATTGCAATTTTTTGCACTCTTAGCAAACATTTTATCATTTAATTATCCTGTAAAACGGAAATGATTATTACTTAAATTGAGTTCAACGTTGTCATGCCATCATCAACATCATAGTTATTGCCACTTTATCACAGCACACACAATTATCATCGCCAGCAACATCGTTTAACATCATAATCATTGAACATTATGAGCACAATGAAAAATTATTCCAGTCACCTAGGCTTTTTAATAACACCTACTGGCTTTCAAGCTCTCATTCTTTCCATACATTACTGCAGTTTGTTTTTGTCATTGTCCTCCACATCGGATATACGCTCTCTTTCATTTACTCACATGTCTGTCAAATGTGAATGTATGTATGAATGTGTGAATATGCAGAAATTTGAAGGAATGTTAGATAGATATAGATGGATAGATAGATAGATAGATAGATAGATAGATAGATAGATAGATAGATAGATAGATAGATAGATAGATAGATAGATAGATAGATAGATAGAT